TGTCAATTTTTCACATTCTGCGTGTATTCTCTATGGGACATGACTTTTTCTCAAAACTGGATTCTACATCCTGTCTTTTGCGAGCAATATCTCCGTCGTTTTAGCTGTGTTTTCGCTGAGCTTTGAGTATGATGTAGCTGAGAGAATAAGCTATCACAAGTGTGCCCTTTATTTTTCGATCAGATGCCGGGATCATGCTCATATTTCACTTACAAAGTGGGATTTGTGAATTCTATTTTCCGTTTACGTGTAATCTCTATGGGAAATGTTTTGGCATATCGGTAACGCGCTTGACTTCCGACCTCGAGGTCCCTGGTTCGAGTCCGGGAGTTTCCAACAATTTTTTTTCTTCACTTTTTTTTTTTTTTTGACTTTTCAATGATCATAAAATTGAAAACAGACCACCTAATTCGTCCCCATGACGAATTAAATTTCTAGTTTCTTTTCCTTTTCACGTCCGCCCAGGAAGCATTTGAGAGAGAGAGAGAGAGAGAGAGAGAGAGAGAATTTCGTTTCACAATCATCATAGTAATTTCTAATGGTACAAATAATACAAATAAAAAAAGGTAGGTCCGTGGTATGTAGCCTCTAAGTCGAACCAAATCTAAGACCCTTTGGCCCAAATTCACAAAGGAGGTTTGTCGACAAACCTTGGTTTTTGTGCGTCATAACGCGTCATATGACGTACATAAACCTCGGTTTGTCGACAAACCTCCTTTGTGAATTCGGGCCATTATGTCCAACCTATGATATAGACCTCAGCTATATATCCAAGTATTGATCGAGACTATTGGGTTTTGCTGTTCACGGAAAAGGCAATAACACTATGAAAGCAATGGCAGAAGTTTGCAACGTTGGATGACGTGCAAAACACAAGGAAGAAAGAAGTTCACAAAACAAATATATGAACCTAATCCTTTGTAAGAAAAGACAGATCTAGCGTGTGTGTAGTTAAGAAGTCCTTCTAAAAGCGAATTCCCTGAAAAAATAACAAATACACAAAATCCTTCAATTCTATAAAATATTTATTTCTTATTATCCATTTCTCATATCTAAAATTCATTCTGTACAAAGTGATATTAACAGGTTGTTTTTTTAGAGCAAGATCACCACAATTGAATTTATCATTTTCCAACCCAGTCATGATATATAATTCATTTTTAATACAATCGGCTTCCTTTGCCCGATGAGAAATACAAGCAGTTTGTTTTTAACATAATTATACTACAGGAAAAGTATATTGCAAAATAGAGACATAACGTAATGTAAATCAGTACATGTAAAGCATATATGATAGCTAAAAGCAGGTTAAATATTGATTGTGCAGATTGTGCTTGTTAAATAGCAGATTATGGTTCTTTTGTTAGATATATGATATGCGATTTCTTGCCTTTCAGTCATTCACTTTGAGTGCATCATTCAAACTCCTTAATTTCCTGATGATGCATTCAAGTAACAGTCAAGTAATTGGCAGATGTTTGCTACTTTCTCCCATATGCCTGTTACTGTGCAGTCCTTTGGATAGGATGTAGAGCTGTATGTAGGCCACCATCAGATTTCTCTACACTTTACATTCTATACCTACTGCATTTTCCAATACGAAATACCTTGACGTAAGAAAGCTTTATTAAGCCAAATTCACGAGGGGAGGGGCCAATGAGATTACTTTTCAAATGCATCTACTGAATTTGTTGCTCATATAAGTCGCGTTTCATTTAAACTAAATGATATTCAAAGTAATTACAAGGAATAAAAACAAGAATACATTAATATTGATGCCCCATAATTTTAAGGAAAAAAATATGAAAATGAATAAGCCAATGAACTAAATGTTCGCTAATGAAATACAATTAAGGTATAAAAATATGCTTCTTTTGACCAATAAAATTATACACCATGTTTACAAAAATGTCAAAGTTACTTATATCTGCAATTAAAAATAACCAGTTTACAAAAAGTACAATATACATTGTCACCACCGACATCACACATTGATCTCTTAATAAAAACCTGTTCGTTAACTAACAATAAAACAAAATGAAGCAACTTACAAGTGTTCTATATCATTAATACCATAATCCAACAATAAAAGTAGCTATACCCCTTGTCGGTAAGGCGACTTCAGGTTGAAAAAGAATAACACAAATACTCGCACTATACTTCAGAACATACATACATGTGTACAAGGTAATTCATGTCTTTGAAGATAAGTGGTGATGAAACAACATAATGAAAGTATCATCTAGTTTGTAAGTACTGTCGTAAAGATAACTAAATACAAGGAAAATTCAGTTTCCAGGTTTTAAAAGAATGACTACGGTATGTGAGTAACACCACAAGCTCATTCTTCTGACCACCCCATTACATTTTAATTTTTTTTTTAACTTGCTTGTTTTCTTAAAACCTTAGCAATGACAAAGATTTTTTTAAATGGACAGGAAATCCTGAAATACTCATAATGAAAGAGGTCAGATTAGCATCTTTGAATACTTGAAGGAAAAAAAACAATTAAAGCTACGGTAAATGTTTATCATTTTCTGATTTGAAAGAGGTTTGCCACCTTCTTTTGTTGTTTCCTACATCTGTTTTTTTTAAATAAAAATCCAAGTGAACAACATTAATCTACAATTTCTTTCTTCAGATTTTTGTTTACAGAATAAACTAAATGCTTGCTTTTCATAGACATCTTGCTGTACATTTAATACAATACATAGCCTGGTCAGCCATTAAAAAAATTGTACCTGGAAACAAAAGTACCTGTAAAATACAAACAGGCCAATAACCAAAGGGACAGCTAGATTCTCAATGAAATATTTTGAAGGCCTGATCATGTTTATATCAACTGGAAACTATGTGCTCTAAGCTTGCATAAATGCCATGAAATCCCTCACTACATAAGCAAGCACACATTTCAAAAGTCAAGAATGTAGAAATAAGAGTATGAATACAATACATCCTTATTGTTTTTTTATTTACAAATATGGTATTTGCTAGTCACACAAATAATGCGATAATATAATCTCTTCCATATAGATTTTTTATAATGAATTAGTTTTGGCGTAATAATGATCTATTCATAGATATACATTACAGAAAGTAGTCACTTTGTTTAAAAAAAAAGTAAATAAATATCATAGCGTTAAATGTTGATTAATGCTTCTTGTGCATTATAGAATCTGAAGATAGACAACAGCATTTTGTATGGCATTTGAGCTATATATGATTTGTTGTAAATAGCATTAATTGGAGTAATCAATAAAAACTGAAATATTATTAAATGTAAGTTTAAATACTGATCAATGCAGCATCATCATCAATGGGCATTTCAGTTTTATCAACAATTCATTGAAACAAAACACACATGGGTTATTCTGGTGTTGTCCAAATCAAATCAATTATCTCTTTGCTGAATCTTACAAGTACATTATAAGTGAAAGTTACTCTTACATGTAGATTAACAAGGTTGGGGGACAAGTAAACAATATAACTGCAAATAATATATATTTTAGAGTAGTATCTGCCATGAGGTTTCAATAAAGATAGTTGTGTTGGGAATACCTTACATAGGCAGTTTGTTATAGTTCAGAAAGGCAGGACCAGTCAAATTACTTTCTCACTTCATTGAAAGATCACAACTGGAGAACAGTTGCAAGAAGAAAACACTGCAAAATGAACAATATAAATTTAAAATAGCCAACATTCACTTCTACAAGCAAAACACACAAACCAGCGGTCAAACTGGTTCTCGAGTTCAAATGAAAAGTAAAGAGGAACACATGTCCAATTTCAATGTCCACTAATGGATGGATGGATAGCTGAATATGTAGACACAATAACGATGCACTTCAGGGGGTGTTTCACAAAGATTTTAAGTCAAACTTAACTTAACTAAAGTTGGTCTTAGAAATTATGGAGAGCCATTTGTAGACTTAAAATAAAATATATTCATATGTGAAAATTCTAGTATTTTAGACTTTTAATAAATTCCACATCAAGAACATGAAATCTCCTTGACAATAGAAAATATGAATGATTTAAATCAATATTTAATGCCTTTTAAAAGAACTTTTACAAAATATTTTCAAAGATGCCAATGGCTTTCCATAATTTTTAAGTCCAACTTAGAGTTAAGTTCAACTTAGGATCTTTGTGAAACACCCCCAGGTTCATCACTCAAAGAAAAAAATGAGCACAAGACAGTCACAAATCATTTGTTAATAGAATCAGTGTGCTATACAATCATCCTCATATAGTTTTGTCTATTGAGAGGAAGAAGGGTGTTAACCTTGTATTAAGTGATCAGAGTTAACATCCTTCTAGCTCTGAAAAGACGATTTCACTTCCATCTACATCATCATCTCATCTCATCCAAGATTTCCCTCCTTTTCATTCAGCCTTTCTCTGAAATACAAAGTTGTCCCTTTCATATGCCTATGTACAATAGTCCTAATTTCTGTACACATTTGCCAACCATTTTCACCCTCATTCTCCTCCTTGCTTTCTCTTTTGGAATGGCTTTATTTATATATATCATGACAATCAAATATTAATACATTATCAAGCATCTAAGGTTGTACTAGAAGTTTTCAAGGTATCAAGAAAAATTGAATTAAACTCTTACCCCATGAAGCAGTTTCCGTCAGTGAGTTAGAAACAATGTTGATTCTTTGGCAGTCCACAATATCCACGCTAAAGGAACATTATGGCAGAATCCTAATAAATTTCTGCGACTAAATTAGCAGTTAAGTTCTGTTTCACATGGTTTTTTTTCTTATTATACAAGCTGAAACTTTCTCCTGTTCGCACAATTAATTGTGAGTGGGAACTGTTCAAAAGAGAGGTAATAAAGATAAAGAGTTAATAAACTCTGCCTCATGAATTAGAAGTCACATTTGATGTAGTGTTAACTGTGTGCTGAAAACAGATTCCATTCTACTCTGTACACACTATAGTACACACATTATGTACCCTATGAGAAATGGAATGAGAGGTTAGGTTTGTTGTGCTTCATAATTGAAGTAATTTCTATTCGTTCTAAAATCACATTTACACATAATCAACAAACTTGTGAATAAAAGTGTCACATCACATGTACAAGGACACTTGCGTGCATCAGCATCATCATCACATCCAGACTTTGCCCCTGACAAATGTGCAAGTCGCTTACATGTTGATGCAATGTCTAAAATTGAACAAAAACACAGTCTCAAATATAAAACATATTCCTAAGTGCAGATACATAACTAAAACAGCAATACTGATTTCACATAGCATCCTCCCCCTTCTCTCTCTCTCTCCTATTCTAACGTTCTCTACCTCATTGTTAAACATCGAAAGACTAGTTTTATATCCTAGCATTACATCACACCACCTAATGCCGTGGGAATCCAACAACGCACATGTGCTCTAAGCTAACTCCATTGAGCTAAACTTGAAGTTAATTTTCACTTATTTATCAGAAGATTGCAACCTTGTCAAGTTTGGAATGTCAATTCTTTACTCCTCAATAAATCACTAATGACAGTAAAACCAGAAACATTTGTATGCAAAAATCTTCGGGAATTGCACAAGTGGTTAAGAATTGCAAAAGCTTCATGTCGATATATTGGTGAATTACATTTACAATTGACACGACACTGAAGTTTTTAGCAATTTGTGACAACTTCTAGCCAGGAAAATGGCCACCACTTACGATTAGCAAAGTTTAATGTCTCAAAGATTTCGGGTTTTGCTGTACAGACATTCTAAAAACAACACCCACAAAAATTTGTCTTGTTAACGATTACTTAAGAATCAATAATGTAATGCTTATACGGTTAAGAAGTATCTGAAGAATTGTCCTCTTTTGTTTTCATTTTCTTTGAAACTTAACATAATCATGGTTCACACTACATATCAAGGCACTGATTGAGACTTATTCCGTCGGGACAATATGAGCAGAGGTTGTTAAGAGCAGTGTCGATTCACTAATACGTTCCTTCCGAGCGCACACACACACACACACATGATGCAGAATTGAATGGATCCTGATCAAATACATGCACACATGTATGACCCAATGCATTCACACACACATAAAAAGGAATATCTGTTGTTACATGTGTGCTATCATTTGCCTGAGGAAGATTCAGCACACAGTGAAGCGGTAGACAGCTAGGCTCTTCTCAATTAAGATCTCACTGTCATTTCGTTAAACTTCCATGGACAGAGAAAGCAGTGCTCAAACTAAACCGACGAAGTGATAGACTCTTCTCCTATCTAACGATTGACACACAAAAAAACATAATCTTCCTGAGTTTATGTACGGACTCCTAGCAATTATTTTCATAATTCTCAACAGATTGGTAGTGAACAATTATCTTCATATTCATCACCTGGTAGTCACTATAACTCTCGGCATTACAATCATATCTACTTGATACTGGTCCCACACCTAAATTACATTCAAGTTCCCCAGGTTTAATGTACATAATTGTCTCATTTGTGTCGTAATTAAAATTTTATAAATAAAGCTTCCTACTATACTTTTATACGATCTTCGAATGTTCTAATCTTATATCCCGACTCTATGATACCTTCAGGTTTCAGCAACAACATTCAGGGAACCGTTTCACAGAGCCTTTTTTCAATGACAAATGAAAAAAATCAGTGACAAATCTGCTTATAACTAATCAGAAGCAAGGATTTCAGTAGCTTATAACAAAAACTGTCATTTGTCACTGATGAAAAGTTTTGTGAAACAGGGCCCTGACCATCGAATCTTGAAGTAAGATCCAGGGAGGAATGGACCACCGATTCCTGAAGCATGACGTTGGTTTCTCCACGGTTCAGTAATGACTGTCTTGTAGGAAGATAGTGCTGTTTTTCTATAAGTTCAAGGTTCTCTGTCGTGAGCTGGTCGGTGCTCACTTGGCACCGCCGGTACTCACTTGGCACCGTAGGCACCGAACTGCATGCCCATGCCGCCGCCGCCCATCTGGTTCATACCGCCAGCCATGCCCATCGGTGCCTGCCCCATCATCATGGGCTGCTGCTGCTGCTGTGGTCTCATGCCACCACCCATGTTACCTTGCATGGTACCACCTGCCATGCCTGTTTGTCCCATAGGGGTACCGCCCATCATACCAGCCATCTGGGGGTTGGTTGATTGCTGCTGGACGGGGGACGCCGTATTGACCATGTAGTTTGGTCCACCAGGTGACACCACACCGGCTGGAGAAAAAAAAAAAGGAGAGGTTAAAGGTTACAAATGATCATACAGAGAATTAGAAATATAAAAAAGTTCATTTGTCCCAACAAGAAATTCAAAGAAATTAACAAATAATGGGATGATTGGTTCTACAAAATCAAAGCATTGAAGAGACTCTTCAGAATGTCTCTCCAAAATGCTTCTAAAAGATTGATTAAATATCTTGAGTTCTGGGCCCCGTCTTACGAAGAGTTACGATCAATCCAAATCAGTCGTAAGTCCTCCAATCAATTGCAAGTTTGCGTTCTCCAATCTGTTATGTACATAGTTGTGATTTATATCGACTCTTTATAAGTATACATGCTCTGAATGTTCAAAACTGCAAATAAAACTATGCAAAATTAAATTTGGGGAGGAAATGTATAAAAGCCAAGCAATAAGCAAAAAAGAAAAAGGATATTAGACTACAGTCTAATGGGGAAAAAGAATATGGTAAAACCGGTCACTCAAAGTTTTTAACTTTTTTGAGGCACTTCTTGAACATTTTGAAGTGCAATTTTTTTAGGGCTTCCGTATTACACCATATCACAGACACTGATAACACGTAGGGCCATGCATCTCAGATTTAACATTGTTAAACGATGACTTTATAGACTTACTTTGTTGTTGCAGCTGGTTCATACTGGGTTGTAATTGTTTCTTGTACCTGTCTGCTGGGCTGAGGGAGTCCAGGCTGATATTCACCTTACTGCCAGACCAGATTTTTGATTTCTGCAAAGCAAAGGGAACAAATAATTGTGAAGAAAAACAACACAAAAGGTCTGTAAACTGTTAGTAATGGTGGTTGTGTTACCTGACTGCTAAGACAGCATAAAAGCATAAATGCTTGTTAGTAAGCAACCAGGTCTCTGAGAGACCTGGTAATGAGGATTAATGCCTTAGCAAAGGGCACTAGTGCATCGACTTGCTTTCGAACCCAGGTCGCCGGATGGCAAGACCACTGCTCTACTAACTGAGGAGTGAGCTATTGCGCTTTCTCCTTCAAGTACATACAAGGAGGATATATGATCATACATTTGGAAAAATTGTGTCTGTGACAGTTTCCTTACAAAGACAATGCCTGCGTATTATTTTTAAAAACATTCTTAGCCTCGTTCAGTTTATCTGCATTATTTTTTTGAAGCGTACTGCACTTCATATTTCCGTCTCTTATAAGACACAGATAAGCAAGTACAAACAAGACCTTTCTTAAGCTACTTTTTTCATTCTCCATTACCATTCAGTACACAATTTCTGCTGTAAAACGTGGCAGTGTACAGCGGCATATCTGGATGAGCCTTAATGGGGTTAAAAACTGCAATGAACTTTAAATGATTTTAATATGACAAGCACCTGTCAAAATCCAAAAACAACTATTCAAGTTACTTACTGACGGGGTCGTTTGCCCTGACGATGACATAGGAGACTGTCCCATCATGCCTTGCTGTCCCATCATGCCTTGCTGTCCCATCATACCTGGCTGTCCCATCATGCCTGGCTGTCCCATCATGCCTTGCTGTCCCATCATACCCTGGTTCATAGGCTGAGTCTGGCAAGAAAGAAAATGAATGATAAATAAAATGTAAAAATATTATAAAATCATGAAAAAAGGAATAGATACGAGCACAAATAAGGATATTCTCAGAAGACACGCTCACAGCCACTGACAATTAAAAGCTCAAGCTATGCTGAATAAGGAAAAGTAAAAAATAACAAAAGCAACAAAAAGAATCATCAAGGCAATTACAGATATGACAAATTTGCAGGACTCTATATTAGCTATTTGCACACTGGCTTGTATTAGAATTTATGAGTCTTTAACCATAGGGCTCCCTGTTAAAATTTTGAATTGGGTGAGGGGGTGTCTACAAGTTAGATTTACAGGTAGGGGGCGATGAGAATCAGCCGACTGTTGGTTTTGACCCGGCATATTGATATATCGTCAGATTTCATCAAGATAGAATGATGGAAGGTAATACGAGGAAGCCCTTTTGCAATCCCCCTTTGAACTTTCTCTTCTTTCATTTTCAATCATATGATGCAGATTTACAACAACGAAAAGAAAAAAAATTTGGTACATCCAAGAACAGGTATAGATATTAATAAGTTGGTTTCAAGTATGAATTCAAAAGAGAAGAGAAGAATGATTACACAGCATATGCAGGAAGGAAAAGCAAAAGGTTAATCAGGAAATACAACATACTTTTACTATGATCATTGTTAGAAAGAAAAAAGGACACGCAAAAGCATCCATCATTCTTGTATTGTAATTGAGCCACGTCGGCACCATTCAATTATTTACTGTTAACATACAAAACCCATAACAAATATTATCTCTGACTGAATTACGTATAGGAATTAGCCCAGCAAATGCTCCCGTTGATGAACTTTACTGCATGGCATATGAACATATCAGTTTGTCTGTAGAAATAGATCTGTGTCAACAAAAGCCAAGCAATACCAATCAGTAGCTTTGTTGATCGAAAGCATGGAGGAATTTGATACCTTTAAATTTGAATATCAAGAAATCTCGGACTTTGAATGTTGACTGGGAAAAGCACTTGGGATGCTCAAGCTTTAAGGAGATGGTGGAATAACTAATGGGGCGTTGCAAGAAAGTTGCAATCAATTACATATCCCCTAAATCAAGCTTAAGTCTTCGGATCAATTGCAACTCAACTTTCTTGCAACGCCTATTAGTAAAAGAGAGAGAGAGAGAGAGAGAGAGATGGGGAGAATAAAAGCTAGATCTAGTTAACTTAATTTAATTGTTAAAACTTTAATCTTAACAAAATCCTAGGTAATTCAGGAGACTAGTGGGGCGTTGCAAGAAAGTTGAGTTGCAATCGATGGCAAATATCAGTTGCAAAACGCCCCATAAGTTAAATAGACTTATTTCCTCCTTATGCTTTGGGGTTATTTTGAAATGCATGACAAAATCAAGCATTACATGCAATCAACACACCTTCACAAAGCAAGACTAACAGATCTTTTGATGTTATCGTCATTCGGTACTTTCACACAAAAAAGCATAACATAAAAATGAAGTAGTGCAGCCAAGAGTCGTTTCTAATATCTACAAGTTCATAAACTTTCTTATGGGTATTTGCACTTTGCATTAATATGAAGTTTATATTTTTTTAAATTAGGATGCTATGCCACTTTTTTTGTTGGGGGGGGGGGGGGGGGAAGCACTTTTAAAATAAATATGAATACATTGTGTAGTTCAGTGTAGGATATCATTTTTGGAAAATAAATGGAAAATAAGTACTGGATATATAGAGCATCGTGTAGATTATTAGACACATACCATTGCAGATCCCATAGAAGGCTTTGAGAGAAGAGGACAAAGAAGAGAGATGATGTACAAGATGAAAACTATTACTTTCATTTGAAAGTAACAGTTTTCATTTTGATTCCTTTTTTCAAGCAATGAATCTTACCAAAAAAAATTCTCTGTAAGATAGCAGGCCTACTCTGGTGCTCCCCCAAACAAATTTGCTATGTCTTTACTATTATCTGTAATACGATGGATTCACAATTCACAGTGCCATCTAGCAATGCCAGTTTCAAGACATATAGGCTTCAAATAAACCACAAATAAACAACAAATAATTCCTTCATGAATTGTTAAGAGATACAGTTTCATAATTCTGTGTCCTAATCTTAGGCAGAAAACAAAATAAACTATCAATAATGAGAAATCGGTATTTAGGATTGTTAGAAAAAAATCAGATAAAGGTTTTTCTTGACCCATTGTTAGAAAGAAAACATAAGGACCAAATAAATTACAAATAGTGTATTCATGGACTGTTAAGACAAAATAATGCACAACATTTTTTTAACTCCATGCTGTTAAGACAATTGAACTTCATATATCTTGACTTGATATACATGTAGGGTCGGATAAGAGGAAAGTGACTGATATTTCTGGCTGGTTGTGTGTTTACATACCATCATCATGTTAGGCGGTATCATCATAGGGGCCATATGGCTCATGTCTCCTACGAATGCAGTGTTCTGTAACAGCAGCAGCAGTAGAAGTAGCAGTTAAGAGGGAGAGATGGACTTTGATTGATGACTTTGGTATAGTACTATAAAGCAAAATTATATCCCACCACCAGTCATGCAGGTATTATTTATACCCTTATTAATACTCGAGCAGGAATTCATGCTCCCACAGATACAAATGGAAGCTTTGAAGGGAAACATCAAACAACGGAGTATAATTTTGAAGCAAGCTTGTCAGTTCCAGAACTACAGACGGATTGTATGCTTGAGGCATAATATTGAAGCAAGTTTGTACTAGGGGGAAAGGAAGGAGGTGGGGGGGGGGGGGGGCGGGGGCTTTGAAGCAGAGGGATATTAACTTTTTCTATTAATCAAAATACAGTTGGCAGCAAAAAGAAATACATGTACCACTAAGGTACATTTCTACAATGCTTTGTGCTATATTTTATTTCTTTTGAAATTGCATAAAAGCATGATATTCCTTATTACCATGTGTTCCTTGTCTTCAGCTCTTTCTTGAGGCTATATGATTGCATGACATTGGAAAATATAATTATGAGATTTTATGAAGCCGAAGTGAATGATGACAATAATGTACTGATAGCAGCATTTTTTCCTGATAAAATCCAAATGGACCTACGGTACGATTGCATAAGCTATTTGTGAAAATATTCAGGTTGGAGTTAAGTACAGTAAGAAGTTGATGAATAGGGGGAAGAAAAAAAAACGACCGTCGAAGTGCAGCAGCTACATGAATATGTAATTACATATAAATATATATATATATACATTAACTTTTGTATAAATTTCATTCACAGTCAATGGGAATTGATAAAAATGTATGAGGAACAAAAAGAAGGGGAGAGGAATTACAGATGTAAAAATTGTATAAGATGAATACATGCATGTGGTCAGTGCTGTTCATAATTTTGAAAGCCTTCTCTGGTTGGAAAACAATCTAAGCCAGAAACCAATCAAACAATGTTGGTCAAAACATAATGTGAGCAGTATCTCTATCACTCAGAGGGTCCAATAATTTAGCTAATCTTTATCTTTGTCTCAGGGGGGGGGGGGGGATCATGCTGCTAAAAAAGAATATGTTAGAAAAAGTTTTTTTTAAGTTAAATAGTATTGTCAATTATTTCTCAAATAAAAATTGCTCACATTCCCTTCACAGAGAAAAGGTATAATGCATTGTTACACCTATTACAGGTAGGTATACACCGGTCAAAGAAAGGCAGGGCTTGGAGGTCAAACCCTGCATAGGCTTAACTTATTTCCTTCAAAACAGAGGAACCAATTGACCCCCTCGAAAATGAATCAAGGCAATTCATGAATGCAAGCTGATTAAGCTAAATTCTTATATTTTCTGAACACAATCAAGCAATAACAGAAATGAACGAATGGTAGTGAAAATAAAGCTCAAATATGTTTTCAGGTCTAAAGTAACCCTGGCGGGCGAAAAGGATGAAATGAAAGAAGAAAAGAAGAGCACTAAATGTCCTTGTCGGGTAGAAGCTAAGTAGTAGTACAGTGAAACCTGTCTATAGCGACCACCCAAGGGAAACACAAAAAGTGGCCTTTGTAGACAGGTGGTCTTTGTAGACACGTTCCTTTAGTACATGATTCAATGAGAAACCATTTTCAAGGGACACAACAAATGTGGCCTTTGTAGACAGGTGGTCTTTGTAGACAGGTGGTCACTAAAGCAGATTTGACTGTATATACGTTTATTAAAGCAGCCATAGTGATGATAATACTTGGCTTGTAGCAATAATAGATTAAATTGTAGTCAAGGACATAGTTTAGAAAAAATTAATTTAAAAAAAGATCCTGTAACCACGATATAACACTCTCTAGAAATCACCAAACATGGCAAAAAGCATGTTACCGTACCAATCTACCAACAAACAGATAGCTGTGACTTCAAGTTTGACATTGGGACTATTGAGCCACTTTCCAGGTAATCAATGTTCAAATCCAATGAAAAGAAAAAGTCAAAGACATAACCAAGATAAGACATCAGAACAACCATCAAAGACAACCAGAATAAAGTTATGAACTTTTGCACTAGCATCTTAAGAATGGGTAAGAAATAGAATGACAGTTTTATATGATATAAATGTAAAAACTTGCAAGCTAATTCACGCTTATCAAATCATGCATTCAGTTTGTTCAACTATGTGTTATTGCCTATTAAACTTAACTTAAACTTGTTATGAAAAGTAGACTTCCTTACACTTTTTAAGAATTCAATTTTTCAAAATTCAGATTCTCAGTTTTCTGTGGCTGGCATGAATTTATGCTCTCTCTATTCCAAATTTCAGTGTCATACCACGCCCTCCGAGTATAAGAATATAACGTACAGCACACACGTTCTCTTCACATGTAAGATAGCGTACATATCCAAAATATCAAAAGACCTTTTAGACCAGTGAAGCAGAATTCAAAGCGAAAGAGAGAGAACCATGTCCCACAACTTCCAGTAAAAGAGCAAGTATATGTACAGCATATACATACACCATTCAAGAATGAAGAGACAGTCTCTATCCTAAATGAGGTTTAAAGTGAAAAAAGAGAATCCATTCCACCTTACATTCAAATTGAGTAATGAATGAAGAAGATCAAAAAGGAATCCTGAAGGAAAACTCATTCAGTACATGAGCAAATAATTATTGTACAAAAATGTACAGCAAACGTGTTAAAAATGTATTATGGAGGAAGCAAAGGATGGTCTAGACCCAAAAGAGGCATTTACATGTACAAGTCAAGGTCAAGAGAGAAAAGCCCATTCCACCTGGTAGTAATGCTGAAAAGTGCATGAAGAAGATCAAAAACAAAGAGTATCAATCCCAACACCAAGGAGCTTCAAAATGGGGAACTTTGAAACGTTAGTTGTTTAGAAATCAGCAGGTGATAAAGATGCCATTTCATATACAGGGCATGCCAGCAGTAGGTCTTACCCTGCATAGTACATGTACTGAGCTTGCTGGTCAGTGGGCATTCCACCGAGAGGCATTCCGCCTACGGGCATTTCGCTTCCAGGCATTCCGCCTCCGGGCATTTCGTATCCGGGCATACCGCCACCGGGCATTTCGTATCCAGGCATTCCGCCACCGGGCATACCGCCTCCGGGCATCATTCCACCCATTGGCATCGGTTGAGGCTGCTGCAGTGGCAGCGCCTGCATATGCAACTGCCCGTCTGGTATATGTGGTTGCTGCACGTCCGAGTCTAACGACTACAGGTGTGTAAAATAGGAGGGAGGGGCATAATTGAAACGGTACAAAATAAAACTGATTTGGAAGGATGATAAAGAGGGGAAAGCATTGGCATAAATCATATTAATACGATATATATAAATATATATTTCCGAACTAACGATGCAATATTTATCAACTAAAAACAAATACCATCTACAATACTCATGAATACACATGTACAAAGAGAGAGGCCCACAACCTTGCAACATAACATTGGATAAGTAAGACAAATGATTATTAAGTAAATCTTTGTTGCATCAGGTAACATTCCAAAGGAACATTAAGTAAGAAAAAGGGTTGAGGGGCAAAATCTGCAAAAGCAAAGACACTTATGTTTACTGTGACATACATGTACACCTGTACTGTATGCAAGATGCACTGTGTATATGAAACTGCAACGTAAATGAAACGGCACTGATATATATTGACAACACTAAGCTGCACATGCCACAGGAAGTAAGGACCTGTTGGGAATATCAACTTAGTTTACTCCAGGGGGTGTTTCACAAAGATCCGAAGTTGAACTTATCTCTAAGTTTGACTTTATGGAAAGCTGTTAATATCTTTGAAATTATTTTGTAAAAGTTATTTTAAAAGGCATACAATTTTGATTCAAAGTTTAACTGTAAAGTTTTGTACTGGTATGCAAGATGCAATGTGTATATGAAACTGCAACGTAAATGAAACAGCACTGATATATATTGACAACACTAAGCTGCACATGCCACAGGAAGTAAGGACCTGTTGGGAATATCAGCTTAGTTTACTCCTGGGGGTGTTTCACAAAAATCCGAAGTTGAACTTATCTTTAAGTTGGACTTTATGGTACGCTGTTAGTATCTTTGAAATTATTTTGTAAAAGTTATTTTAAAAGGCATAAAATTTTGATTCAAATCATTCATATTTCTATTTTCAAGGATATTTCGTGTTTTGATGTGGAATTTATGAAAAGTCCAAAATATGTAAATTTTTGCTTTTGAATGTATTGTATTTTAATGCTACAAATGGCTCTCCAAAATGTTTAAGTCCAACTTCGAGTTAAGTTTGACTTAGGATCTTTGTGAAACACCCCCCTGAACAGACAAGAGATGTGCATGCCCAATAGATACACTGACCGTTCCATACAAACTCAAAACATCTCTTTTCTAATAAAGATTTACAAATTGTTTCAGCAGTACAAAAGCTGCTTTTAAACTCCTTCGCATATATATCAATCAGTAATATTGATCTAAACAAACTGCATTATTTTTCTTATTTTAAAGTAAATTTGGTGGATATTGTTCTAGTGGTGCAACTGTAATCCCAAAATTTCAGCAATAATTCACACATGCTTACAGTACCCATACAGCCAAGTACACTTAGCAAGTATCAAGGGAAACATTTTTCAAGGTACTACAACATGCATACAAGACGTCCCCCCCCCCCCCCCTAAAAAAAAAAAAAAAATTAGGATGGACCTTCGACCGCGCGCAGTCGAATATAATGCCTCCGCCATGGAGCAATTCTACAAATCAAAACAGAAGCAAACTATTTTTGCATACATAATGAGCCCTGGCCCCTGTGACCTTTGACCTCATTACCCTGACCTCGTTACCCCAAAATCTTATCAGTTCATTGGCTCTGCAAGATAAATACATGACCCAAGTTTGGCGGGAATCCATCAATGGGTTCTTGATATAACGCGATCACAAGCTATTTTTGCATACATAATGAGCCCTGTGACCTTTGACATTGGATTTCGTGACCCTAAAATCTAATCACTACATTGGCTCTGCAAGATACATACATGATCCAAGTTTGGTAGGAATCCATCAATTGATTCTTGAGATAATGTGATCACGAGAACGGGACGTACGTACGGACGGACGGACAACCCGAAAACATAATGATTCCAGCTACTTTGTAGCGGAGGCATAAAAAATTAATATGTGACATCAACAATACGGATCCAATACTTTTATAATGCAATTCCCTTCCCTCAAAATGAGACTATCCAGAATACTGCCCAAATACTACCCGAATATTGAATATTGTCATGGATTTGTCCTTAGGTTGCACAACAAGATTGGGACAACACCACCTACCATTTGGATCGGACGGAATGAAAAGAGATGCTGTAGAAAACCATTGTAAGAATAAGGCAAGAGCAAAGGAGAGATCACGATAAAGACATTAGGTAGTCTAGCGAGGTTCTACATAAGATTTTGTTTCACTTGCACACTTCAGGCGATTGGAGCAGAGATAATATGTGGATGTGAAAGAATGGACAGGCCCCCAAATTTGATATTTTGAAAGGAGTATACAGATGCCAAACTGTTTAAGGTTTTGTCCAAAACTGCCTTTATGCCATTCATCCCACTACTCGTGTTGCCTCAAAAATGAACATTAATGATAGGTAGATAAGTTATTACTTGTTACTGCTTCATGTATTACAAACTTTATATCTCATTGAAACATGATCTCCTAAACTATCAGGTTTGGACTTTTAAAACATTATTTTGGCAAAGAAATCCTTTCCAATAGATAAAATATGGACTTAAACAACTTATAATCTCCATTACCAATCTAAAACAATGTAACAAAAAGAAATAGCAGGAAAACTGCAATGGAATCTTCATGCGAAGTGAGAGAAGCTAACATAAACTACAAGAATATTTTTAAAGAAATCTTTGGTGCAAGCCTGTACCTAATTTGAACATATAGCTTAGACCAGGGGGGTGTTTCACAAATATCCTAAGTTTAACTTATCTTTAAGTTGGACAGTTATGGAAAGCCGTTAGCATCTTTGAAAGTATTATGTAAAAGTTATTATAAAAGGCATAAAATGTTGATTCAAACCATTCATATTTTCTATTATCAAGGAGATTTCATGTTCTTGAGATGGAATTTATGAAAAGTGTAAAATACTTGAATTTTTGCTTTTGAATATAATTTATTTTAAGGCTACAAAAGGCTCTCCATAATGTTTAAGTCCAACTTAGAGTTAAGTTCGACTTAGCATCTTTGTGAAACACCCCCCTGGACAGAGAACAAAATGGCCTGTGGCACGACTAGTACTATTAAAAGTAAACCAACCTGCTGTGGCTGCAACATGCCCATGTTGCCGTGTTGTGGCTGCATCATAGGTTGCTGTGTTGGTTGTGGTGCGGTCATGAGTGGTTGCTGTGGTGCCATCATCATGGGCTGTTGTTGTGGCTGCATGTGGTTGATGGTGCCTGATGGTTGAAGTGGTGCATCCAAGCTGAGGAGACTGAGGTTGCTCTGTAGCGTGGTGGTGCTCTGTGTCTGCTGGGTCACCGTCTGCGATAGCTGGACCTTCTGGAAGTCACTGTCAAAATCACAAAAAAGAGGAATATAAATATAATTGGCTGGAGGAACACGGTGGAACAACACATGCATGCTGTGTTCGTTGTGTTGCTGCCATGAGTGGTTGCTGGTGTGTCATCAACATGGACATTTGTGGCTGCTACAGCACTGTCAAAATCACAAAGGAGAAGAAAATAAATATACAATTGATGGAGGAATACTGTTGTACAACACATGCATGCTGTGTTCGTTGTGTTGCCGCCATGAGTGGTTGCTGGTGTGTCATCAACATGGACATTTGTGGCTGCTACAGCACTGTCAAAATCACAAAGGAGAAGAAAATAAATATATAATTGATGGAGGAATACTGTTGAACAACACATGCATGCTGTGTTTCTTGTGTTGCTGCCATGAGTGGTTGCTGTTGTGACATCAACATGGACTTTTGTGGCTGCAACAGCACTGCCAAACTCACAGAGGAGAAGAATATGAATATACTTTGATGGAGGAATACTGTTGTATAACACATGCTCCCTTGACATTTGCCTAGTGGTCAATCTCCTACGCTTGCCAAATTTAAGTCCAACCCTTGACCCAACACTATACTTCAACACCTAACCCTAACCTTTACCCACCCCTAACCCCGACTCTAAAACTTTAACCTAAAACCCAAATGAAACCCCAACCCCAACCCTGTGTCTTTGAAGAAATAAAGCACTGAGAAATTACCCCAGAAGCAAATGTCAGGCCACATGGCACACAATCAATGCCCTGTCATCAGACAATGGCCTACGCTCGTAGTCAAGAGGCGTTGGTAATAAACCTATAGCAGGCTAAACCTGATGGATACACTCAGACTTGAAACCTTTTTGTCAATGACAATGGATGGTCTTAGTACATTGAAGGGATATTGGGTGATTATTGTGGGACAGGTTCCCAGACTAGGATGGGGACATTAAAGACATTGTTTAACAATGTTAAATCTGAGATGCATGGCCCGTCGTGGTATTATTGTCTGTGATAGGGTGTAATATTGAAGCTCTGAATAAAATTGCGCTTCAAAATGATCTTGTAAGTGCCTCAAAAAAGTAAAAATCTTTGAGTGACCAGTTTTACCATACTCATGTTCCCCACCCAGTAGATTTATAATTTTGATTGCAGGCATGAGCTAAATCCAGGATTTTGTTTCAGAATCTGATGCAATGTTACAGAGCCCCTTTAATCCCAATAGTATTTTACCTTGGTTGTGCAGCAGGGGCAGGAGCTGGGGTACTCTTAAAACTTGAGAAATCTGCAAACTCGTTGTTTGTTGCTGCGGGTGACTTGGCACTTGGGGCGTCGCCTCTGGGGTTGAAGTCCCCAAAGCTTTCATTTGCCGCCGCTGATGAGAAATCCGCAAACTGACCCGCACGCGGAGATAAGGGCGGCGCTGAGTTGGTGATGGGGGCGGCTGAGACGGAATCAAATAGGTCTGTAACTAAATCGTTGGAGGAACTTTGTTGCTGCACAAGGGTGATAGGAAAAAAAGGGGATCAAATCAGAAAGTTTGTACAAGTCATACTTTGTCGTCTGGATTTTAAAAAAGGTATGTCCTCAAAAAACCTTTTTCAACCTAATCCAATCCTATTATAAAGCATCTTTTTCTTGCAGTTATACAGTGCTGCACAAAAGAGAATCACATGGTAAATTGTGTAAATGATTAAATGTATGTCGACCAATAACTATTTGGTTTGAAATTTTTTGTCACATACAGTAGTTGTAATATATATATTATATATGTTACCATATATTTGGCCAAATAGAGATATCCAAGAAAGTCCTATCAGAATTTTAGAGCTACACATTGAAATCAGAGAATTTTCAGTTACAAAAAAAGTATTTTCCCTCTTTAATTGTTACAGAATTACACCCATATTGCAGTTTATTTTAAACAGACTTCCTGAAAATACTGATATGATATACAGTATGTATCATACCTTGGAACAAAAGTTGCTTACACATTAACAATTATCATGAAAGTGAAAGCATGAGATTTAAATTTAAGAATGTATTTATTTCATTATAATCATTTAATTTCACAATAATGTTAGTAAATGGCAAAAATATAAGTTTCTTTTAAGCTAAAGATTTGGCTTTATGTAAATATTAAAGTGACATTTATTACAATAAATCTAAAATTGGCTGATTTTGTACTTCTCATGTGGACTTGCCCGCAATAAAAGTGTCAGCAAACCTACCCGTGTATTAGGTGAATCTTCTTGCGCTTCTGCTGCATACGATGCGGCGGCCCCTAGATCTAACCTCTTCCCCGATCGCTTCTTGGTCATCTTCGTTCTCCTCTCCGTCGTCGTTGTCGATGTTACCCTTTCCTCCTTCTCTTCTTCGTCATGGAACTCGAATCGAGAATTCTTTGATGGTTGCGGCCGTGAAGATTCATCATCTGTGTCTTCATCTCTAAAAAACAGAAAGGTCACATGAAGAGAGAGGTTTCAAAAATTAATAACTTTTACAGCTAAAAACCTTACACATTTTGATGTCAGTTAGAAACTTAAAGGAAAAGATTATGTCTGCATTTATTGATGGCATTATGAAAAAACTCAACATAACAAATGAGCACATGTACATGCATAAATGTCAAAGGTGCTCCGGCCCAAGTTATCTTTGTCTTAGAATACAACTGATCAACAGGTTAATCCAATTACACGCACAAAAATATTCAACAAAATGCAAATTACAATATTCTGCTTATCTGGTGTACATAGACTTTGTTAAAAGGAAATATGAAGTCCAGGAAGCAGAAGGGCCAAAGAGGGAGGGGGCATCTTCAATACAACCTTCAAAGTCAATACAGGGTCAAATACACAAAATATTTGTAAATTTAACTTGGCCATCATTTACTTTATAGCCATTCGGTGTAAACAAAAAACTGGTACTTATATGTTTGCAGGACCCCATTTAGGATATGGTGTGATAAAAGTGTGAATTTTTCACAGGAATATTAAACTATTTCATTATTATATTACCAGAGCTCTTTTTTAATTTACCACAGCCATTTTGGAGCTTAAAGATAAACTTGAGTTCTGGTAATGCGATTGCATTGTGAAAGAAAAGGTGTGGAATGGATCAGAAAAGTTGATCATATAGCATGTAAGTAATGGTGTGTAATGCAAGGTTCTGGAGTCATCAAAATCATCATAAATTTGGCAGAGTCTTGGTAAAGTAACAATCACTTACACAGAGAGCTGTACATGGTACAACACACATGTTGTCTGGGCTGGTACTACCCTGATTTCCTTACATTTCTATGCTCATTACTCAGCCAGTATACATTTTCTTCCAAAATTGTTTGGCACATGACATTTATTTGTAATCTTGAACATTCAGTGTAAGTTTCGCTAGATTCTGTGAGAATTCATTTTCTTTTTTTACCAGAACTCAAGATTATCTTTAAATACAGAACTAAATCGCTCACTGCTTCCATGTATTTTTTCGCAGTAACTTGTGTGCCCTCTTTCAGCACTAGTTTTGAAAGAAATTGTCATTACATAGCAAAAGCTTACAGCCAAAAATCATGTATATTATCATTCTCTCATGGTTCTCTACATCATTATTGCTATCTACACAGAGATCTCCCACAATTTACTCACAAAGACAAAGAGAAAGAGAAATAGACAATTTTTGTAAATAAATCATAAGGCCAAAAGCATAAGGCCCCCCCCCCCCAAAAAAAAAAAACATGTTTAGCATCCTACTTTTTTTCAAAAATAGGAAGGAGTAGGCCCTTTTTTTCTTCCTCAAAATGGCCACTCAAAATGACAGCTCGGTACATTTTTCCTGACGGTTGGGCTATTTTTCAAGATGACTGCTTGCATTTTTTTGTTTAAAAAAAAAAAATCAGAAATACAATGTAGATGCATTTTAGCAGTGTTTTTCATGTTTTTTTCCTTTAAAAAAAGGAGAAAAAAAAAAATGTTTATTTTTAAAAATGGTCTTATGTACTAGTTTTCTAGCCATGACACATAACAATAAAGGTCGCATACCAGCCTTCTTCAAAACAAAACAAAATCTTAACAGCCACCACATTGAGAGTGAGTACATTCATTGGTGAAGTTGTCATGCAAACTATATATTCAACCTGATTCTCTAACAACGACACTCTACATATACCGGTACATTCCACTTGAACAGGAAGCAGATAGGAATCAATCAAGCAAGGATGCGCCATGTTTGCACTAGGGGTTCAAAGTCCATGTTGGCACTAGGTACACTGATGTTGTTTTTTTAATCACCTGCTAAACTTCCTGAACCCTATAACAGTGAAGGGTATTTTTTTATTTTTTATAGATGTGAACTGTATAAACTGATCAAAGGGGCAAATAGTTCATGGCTAAGTTTCATGCCAGGACTCTTGCCAGTCATTCGGAATGTTGATTTAAAGAGCTACATTTGTTTACCAAACATACACTAGTTGGAACCAGATATACAGAGCAGAGCCCTTATAGAGAAGGAAAAAAAATTGTTACCGGTACATACTGCACATGTGAGTCATGTCCACGTACATGTTTAAATGTACAGACAAAAAAATGGGGGATATCCTAGTTTACATTGAAGCTATTATACTTAATTTTCATAGAAATTCTCATTCGGCCTACCGGTATTCTTTTTTCATCATTGGATGAACCAAGTACAAAAAGGACATATGACTTTTCCTATTTTCTTGAAGTCTGTAAAATAATAATATATATGGAAATTACTAAAATTGGGTTTCTGGGAAATTATTTCCCTAACAAATTGTGTAGTATTTCAACATTTTTGTGTGTACAAATTTCTGTTTCACAAATTTTGTATGCAAAAAACAATCTGCAATTGCTATACATGCCAAAAGCCTATTCAACCTTTGATGTTAAAGTTGCTCAAGCGTGGGTTTATACAGTCATTCATGAAGTAGGCAACTTGGCGATCATTCCTGATCACTACATAACACTGAGCCCATGGGTATTACGCTCCCATGCATACGTCAACATGCTGCCCATTACATACCCACGCTTGAGCAACTTTAACATAAAAACGGATTACTAACATAACCCTAATGGACTTCCCCTGTATACATAATCAGTCATCCAAGAGAGAGAAATAAAAAAAACATTTGCTGGTACACAGTACAGTATTGGCCAATCATCACCTTCTGTACATGTGTTAAACGATTACTGGTACACAATTAAGTATTTTACTTAGAATTACAGTACCATCTATTGTACACGCTCTAATAATACACTATAAACGCAAAGCCATCAATATTTTAATTACTAATGAAAAATTCATTTGGGGCTCAATCAACCAGCAAAAGTTAACATGACTATCTGTACACATGTACACTTTATGAATGAACAGGAAATGAATTTCCCAAAGAGTAAACAAAACTCATATGGGAGCAAGAGCATCCCAGTGTAATAAATAATAATAGGGGCTGTTGTACAGGAATTTAATGTATGAAGCATACATGTACATGCCAACATTTGAAAATCAGAAATCTGTACAAATTATGCTATTTTCAAAAAAAAGAGGAACAATCCTAACTCTCCTATTCAATACTACAGACAAATTTGTACAGGAAGAGGAACACCTGCATTAAAATGATAATTATCTTCTCCCAAAAAGAGGAATGTTCCTCTTTAATCTGAACAGTTGTATGATGAAGCAATTGCAAGTGTTTCAAGATAAAGTTGAGTTCTGGTCATTCGATTGCATTTTAAAAGAAATGGTGTGGAATCGATCAGAAAAGGTTTATCATCTAGCATATAATTATTGGTGTGTACTGCAAGGTTCTGGAATCATCAAAATGATAAGAAATTTGGCCCAGTCTTGGCAAAGTTACAGGCACTGTACACAGAAAGATGTATATGGGACTACTTGAACATGTGGCATAAAAATCTGTCCCGATTATTATGATGTAACATGCCATATTTAGAATATTAAGGTATTTGAAGAGCCATGCTTTTCTGGGGAACATTTTTTATCTGATGTTCTTCCACACTTGCATAATAACAATGATAATGCTCACAAATTATTTGTTCACCTTCTCCCAGAACTCAACCGTCTCTTTAAGCGGTAACGAAACACATCATGCTCCTCTTCAACTGTAATACCCAGGAACTACAGTTCAGGTTACGAGAGACTACTACTGTTAAAACATTAACATACACATGCATGAAACGTTCACAAATTTTGCTAGAAGTTCCAATGCACGAATGCTTCATGCTACAAATGTACTACAACTGAGATATGGCGATCAAGCTTTTTCAGTAATTGCCCCTATCCTTTGGAATAACTTACCAGCGCATATTTATAATACTCAGTCCCTTGACCAGTTAAAGTCCATGCTGAAAAAAGCACCTTTTTAATTCATAAATGATATTCTACACGGGCGCAGTTGTGAGTCGGTCAAAGGAGGTGCACACCATCTTATTCCTTGTTTGTTTGATCCCATTTTATATTTGTATTATATGCATGATTTATTGAATAAAGAACATATTTATAATTTGTGTGTTTATTATAAGTTTTGGTTGGTAATTTCTAGTCAGACAATGGTGCAGTTAGAAACAAACGTATTAAGCGCCTAATAATTGTTGTGTATTATTACTATCATCTTTAATATCCAAATTACCTTTAGCCAGTTTCTCGCAAAAGTCAATTCCATTAACAAAATATTTATGTACATGTGTGTTTGTCCGTTTCATCCAACTGCTTGAGGACTTGGTATTGAGGATTAATGCCTTACGAAAAGGGCACAAGCACATCGACTTGGTTTCGAACCCGGGACCTCCCGGTTACAAGACCACTGAGCCATCTGATCTCGCCTCCCCCAAAATATGATGAGCTTTGAAATGCATGCACTTACGCATATTCTGGCGGTGATTCGTCGTCATCTTCACCTCCTCGTCTCTCGCCCGGTCTTCCTCTGTCAGTCTTCTTGTTCCATTCATCGTCCAATTCCTTGTCATTTTCTTTGGTCCTCAGCCAGTTGGCCTTGGGTTGACGATCGTAGCGATCACCTATTGGGATATAGAGTTATAGAGATATATTACAGAGAGGGTTGAGCATTTGTCACAGGGGGGATATCGTTATTGACTATCCTTTCAAATTTTTTTCATTGGACAGAACTTTCCCTTTGAAGCATACATGTGCTGTGCTTGGCAGGCCTCAAGACAAGACAGAAGTAAACAAAATCTGTGATTCATAGTTTTGCTTGCCCTCCCTTCAATTTCATCCATGATTTTGAGAGAGTCAGGCAACTAATTACTACTTCAGGTAACTCTAACCCCAAGTCACTTTTAACAAAAACAAAACATAGACCTAGGACGAACTTTCTTTTTTAAACCAAATTTTGGCAAATGCTTAAAAATAGCGTTAGGTTTACATTTTCAGTAGAATACTCAATACTCTCATTTTAATACAGTAGCCATCCCCGTTTCTGTACGCAATGAGTTAAAGACTTAAAATAAAAGAATGGATCCAACTCACTGTAATCATCTGTGTCAGCAGCTTTTGCACTTTCAATACCAGTATACTTGTCCTTGGATTTCCTTGCTGCTTTCCTCTTCGTTCGGAGGATCTCATCGTCCTGAACGAGCTGGATTATATCCTTCACCTTCTGTCTCACTGATGGTATCATCAAAAGAATCATCCAAAAAGAAAGGTAGAGGAATGTCAAAATTAATGAAAAATGATGCGGATCTAGATGAATCCCAGGGAAAATATATATGCTGACATGTACATCTTTGTACGGCACCAGGCAGACATGATGCAATCAATTATCCAGAATAAACTGTCATATCAAATTGAAAGTCAATCACTCATTTTAGTGCAAATGAAAGCCAATTAGAGAAAAATTTATAAAATTATAACTTAATATTGGTTACAGCTTTCTAAGATACAAAGCTGCGAGGCATAATGGACAATGCACAATGATCTATTTTTTTTTATGTATAACATGCAGATTTGTGATGCAAATTATCTATATTATCCTTTGCTCTTGTCACCAGTTATCCACCTTCAGAACTCAACTAAAGACATACCTATTTCAGATTGCTACAATTCGTCACTGCTTTTTTGTCTTTCCCAGTTAGAATCAGGAACAGACATTTTTGGTAGTTTTTCAGTCTCATCAGTGCCTTTGATTAGGCAACTAGGCAGTATACATGTACCATATACAGTGTACATGCATCTGACAGCTGTTTTACAAATAAAATATGAAAGATTCCCGTCTACAAAATAATGGACGCAATTTCAGAGGTCTACAAAACAACCACTACCTTCAATTTATTGATACATGTAGAACAATTCATATAATGTATCAATTTCACAATGTTCAGACTTACATAATTATATTACTATAAAATTTGGTTTTAATTTGTGATTTTCTTACCATTCAACCCTTGGTCTCTGTTGAATTCATCTAAAAAGGAGTACGATTCTAGTCCTTTGAGATCATAGAGGTGCTCCCTTGCACTGGTCACTACTCTTTCTGACCCGTTCAATATAAGATACTGTAGAAGTAGTAATGACTGCCAAGAAGAAAAAACAGATAGACATTTCATTAGATGTACATATAAGGTACGATCAGTATCACAGCTATTTAGTTGATGATTACAAAGTTGGATTGTAATGTCATACTAATAGTGTCCTCTGTAGCCCATCTTCTACTCATTTGATGAACCTAGATACTAGGTGTAGCATTAACCAAAGGGAGAATCAAGACATCAGTCTACTTTCTTTTCTCTTGGTAAATTTGACTTTAATCAAGGGTACATGTAGGTTTTTTTTAGAAGTATGCAAGTTTACTATAAATGTACATTACATTGTATTTATAGTCAGACAACAAAATCAAATGGTTTATCATTACTTAAATTGTACATGCAGAGATCAGCAACATGGTGAACATGAACTGTTCGGCACAATACCAAGACTTTTTAGCATAATATATGCTCCATCAGAATAACTACCGGTACATAAATAAAATAAGGTCAACTAAGAATGCTAAGAGTTGAAAAAGTATTATAAATGCAAAGGTTTGAAGGTAACATAACATTGACATCGGTTATGAAACTTGCAGGTATGACTTTCCACAAGGCTTGAGTCGGTACGCTCGATCACACCGGGACCCGACCGTTGCCGTCGGGTCCCGGTTTCGTTTTTTGAGAACCGGTGCTCCGAAAAAAATAATGAAATATGTAAGATATTGCAGTTTTGCACACCACTAAAATCAATCCACCCTAAAACTTAAGTATTTAATTGTTACCAATCGTATTCTAGCTCATCCAGAATCAATCCGAACTGCTGATATAAATATGGGTTGCAAAGCAGTTCTCCCCATGGGGTTGTTGTTGCCAGCTGCTAGCTAGCTACTGTACTGGCCGGGTCTCTCGGCAGAATTAATAAATCAGGTTGAAAGAAACATTAATGTTTGAATAATAAAACGACTTTCTAAAAAGTACTTCTTTACAACATACCGATCGAATAATTTTTAAAAGACAAAATATATATTTTTTCTTTGATTTTGAACACCGCATGCTTCTTTTAAAAGCTGAAAATGACTTGGTAATCACAAGAAGTTTCGATACGGATAGCTGTTGCAATGCAAGTTCAGACTTGTCTCTGAAAAATGCGCAGTGCTCCTTGTTAGCTATAATGCGTGCCAGAACGAACCCAAACAAAGACGTGATCGTAACGAGAAAAAAATCATTAAAAACTACGAGAGCACAATTGGAAAGACAACTACTCAAAATTATCGTAAGCAGATACATAACTTGGAGGAAGAATACAATAGTTGTCCAAGAAAAGCCACATAAATAGTGATATTTAATGAGTTACTATAGGTACAATCATTATCGGAAGGGCCTGCTGCAATATATCTAAACGTGTTTAAATTGAACACGAGGCAAATACCGCCCTCTACGGTAAAAAGCAGTATAACAAAGGATTCGAGTATTTGCAGCGGGCCCCTTGCGATAAAAATGTACCCAGTTACTCCTCGATTATCACAATTTCTGTGGCATTTCTTGGGCGATTATTGAATTCTGTGTCCAAGTTATGTATCCGATTATGGTAATTTTGAGCAGTATATCTTTCCAATTGTGCTCTCGTAGTTTTTAATGATTTTTTTCTCGTTACGATCACGTCTTTGTTTGGGTTCGTTCTGGCACGCATTACAGATAACGAGGAGCACTGCGCATTTTTCCGAGACTAGTCTGAACTTGCCTTGCAACAGCTATTTGTATCGAAACTTCTCGTGATTACCAAGTAATTTTCAGCTTTAAAAAAAAAGCATGCGATGTTTAAAATAAGAGATAAATATTTATTTTTGTCTTTAAAATATTATATGATCGGTATATTGTACAGAAGAATTTTTTAGAAAGCCGTTTTATTATTCTAACATTCATATTTTTTGACCAGATTTATTCAACCTGCATAAATCAAAATGGAGGCTCGATTGTAGTCTTTATATTTTTGCTCGAGTTTTTTTACTTTTAGAGGCACGATAATGGCACTAAACATCGCCAATCATGGATGAATATAATGTCAAATGGAAGAATATACCAATCTGTGCCGAGGTATGCATGAGTTGATTTATTTGACTGATAAAAATGTCACTTTTAAGGGACATACTGATGATATGCGCTTTTTATAGAGGCAAGTGACAAATCCTGCGAGCTGATTTCGGGACACCAGGTCCCGACCGCATACCTGCCAACCTGAGACAAGAGAAATTAGGAGTAAATTTTTCTGGATGGACTACGAGGTCGCGAACCACCGAAGGATTGGGGTAGTAGCCCGTAGATTGGGGGGGGGGGGGGCAGAGATGCCAACCCTATAGGATGGCTGTCAGTAACATTTACCATATTTGTCCGTAACAAATGGGGGTCTTTCCGTAACGCAAGACACCGCAGCATAATTTCGCGCAAAACGTACACAAACACCCAATCACTCTTACTGCATTTCGAACCTACCATATTAAGTCCAAAATAAAGATGTGCATAAAAACGTTTTTAAAAATCTGTTTCCAGTCAAAGGATCTCCTTCTCGGGTACTCGCTCTTTTGAGTGAATCCATGATAATATTCAGGAAGAAAACACCTTGTTCAAGCGTCCAATGGCAAATTCGAATCCACAGTCAAATGGCAGAACTCGTATTCTACACACGCACACGTACACTCACCAGTACCAAAGACACACCAGCCCAGGCCGCTAGGCCCGGCGTTCATGAACAACAACACACCGTATACCGCACTGCACTTGCAATGCGCCCGCTGAATCACCGAAGTCTTCGCTACTATATTGCGGGCGCCATGCACACAATCATCTACCCCCATGCTCCCCTCAAAAGGCACGAACGCACGTAGCATACGTAGCGGCCGTGTTGTTTTGGAATTAAACAAGATGGCGGCGGACGGACCATGTGCGCGAAAGTGCCTATCCAGTGTAGTCAAATTCAGTGAAGCTATGAGTGAATGCGTGCGACATGCAGCGCTGTGTGCGGAGGCTATGTGATAAGGCGGCATTCGCTAGTGTTATGCTTAAGTCTTATGCAACAGTCGTTTGTTTTAAAAATATTTTAAAATTAAAAAAAATCGGAGTTTTGAGGCATGCAATCGGAATTCGGAGTGGGTATGAAAAAAGCGGAGTAACTCCGCCTAAATCGGAGTGGTTGGCAGGTATGCGACCGGTGCAAGGCCGTCGGGACCCGGTTTATGAAAATCCCGACATGACTCAGGCCTACTTTCCACTATCATTGATTAAGGCATTACTTGATGATCAAAAGCATGGCTCTAACTAACATATTTGTACCATTTTTGTAGTAGGAACTGGGAAATAAATCTGTGCGTATAGTGATGCTCATAAGAGGATCCATCACTCCTCAGTATAGAGCAGCTTACCTTGTACACCCTCCTCCAACTTTTCTTGTTGTCATAGAGCAATCTTTTCCATAGCATCCCAACAACTTCTGGAAAGTGTTCATATGTGAACGTCTCTCTGGCAATTTCCGACATAAGAGTGCCATGTGGTCCCCAAGCTTCATCATTTGTTGCCTCACGAACCTTGGACTCCACCTCGCTGTAGTTCATTACCACATTGGTCCTGTATTAGCAAAAATGTTAAAGATTGGTTAAGGCGAATGACAAAAACTGACAAAAACTGCAAGATAGATACAGTGTGAATGTAAGCATTCAGTGTTTGTTTTGGTGAGCAGCATGGGCATACACAATACACATGTACACATGCATGTAGTGTGTACAGCTACAGCAAGTATAAGAAATTAATACTATTAAAAGGGGCCTAGATCTAATAATACGTTCTACAACAAGCACAGGTTTTTATCCACTTTATAGAGTATCAAGTCAACATTGCATAAATTTCTAAGTTCAAGGCCTACAAAAAAAGGCTAGGTCTACCTGTATATGCTAATTTCTGCATGTGATAAAATAAAAAGAGCACAAAGTCAAAGAAATGGTAAAGAAGATTATAATTTTAGACTCCATATCGGGTCAATTAATTGAATTTTGACAACGGACACTTTAAATCTCCACATGCAGTCAGATTTCTAGACCTATTGCGAACAGAATATGCAGCGTAACAAATTAATTTTCTTCTACTTCCTTCTCGTTCTAGACTCATCTCTTGTTCTACTTTTTCTAGCTGTATTGGGGTTAATGAGAATGAAATATCAGGATATGAATAGATTTTGGCATAAATATTCACAACTGAATGATGATCTAGATCTTCACCTTCAAAGTTCAAACTAGAACAACAGACAACATAATTTTGTATTAATAATCATAAGCCCTTGCTCCTTGGTTTAGGAAGTTAGGGCAGCTAGCTCACTAGGTAGAGATCAAACTCAAAATCAAATCAAAATCAAGGACAAGTCCGATTTTGTCATTGGACATTGGCTTTCTCATTCATCATGTTCATTTTTATCATTGACATTTGGTCGGAATTACAAAAAAAATTGCCACAGCAGCTGGGCACTAGATCTAGGTCTAGACAATATATTGTTGAAAGTCATAAATCACAATCCTACGTAAGTTGTTAATAATGTTGCCAGTTAGATCTACTTCTGAGATTTTACATTATTCGTAGTGCCGTGGCCCTCGACCCTCGAGCAGTGTCGAGCGGGCGTAGCCGCCACATCCACAAGCACCAGGCTAGCTATACACAGCCAGTGCACAGGTCAGCTCAAGCCATAGGCTTATCATAGCTAGGTTGACACGGAGTTCCGCTGGCGTAGGTTACGTACAGCGATAGCAACCAACGTCATCACCAATTATCGTTTCAGCGTATGGATAGGAATTGCTGTAACTTACACTTTGTCCGTTAATTCACGGATTTTCCACATAGCCGACTGCATGATGATGGATTATGCAAGTTTTTCCGTTGTGAAGAAAAAATAAATAAAAATACGCCAAATTCAAGCCGATGATCAAGGATTGCAAATCCCTACTTTAGTGGGCGTCTAACGACGTAAATTCACAAGTGTACCGGCATATCGTCAACGTCATCATTTGGTGACCTCAATCGACCTGTCATATTTTTTTCCTGTAGATAGCTAGTCTCATTTTATGGCTTTAATAAATACAATCATATAATATCACCAAATAATTCAATATTTAAAAGAAATATGAAATATCTATATATTGAATACTTAGATTTATTTCTTTTAAATCATTATAATATTTTTTTAATTCATTTAGAAATTGAGTAATAAATCCATCTATATAAAACAAATGAAAACAAGTCTACGAGGTGTTTTATGTTTGTAAACAAATTTCTACAGCAGCATGCAATAGCTAGAGCCTTAGAGAGGCTCGCTTATCTTATGTTGGATGCCAAAAAGGGGTGGTAGATTCCTAGAACTGCTATCACTTGTATCAGCTAACTTTTTATCGTCAAAGGCAGCAAATTCTTTTTGAAACTTGCTCATTATTTCTGTACTAAAGTACCGATTCTACCTCGTGATACGTATCTCCCATCTGCATCTCCCAGGCCTCGCCGGAGCCCTACTCGAGGTCTACATATACGCTACGACAACGTGCAGTGGCGCTGCATGTGGCCAGGCATCATCCATCCGCATCCACCTACTATTTGGGCGCCCTTGGGGCTCCAGTTCTCGGCATAGCCCAGACTTGAGTCGAGTTCGCCCACGCCAGCGACGCATAGTGGTCAATGTAATTGAGTTCATCCGGCCAGTTGAAGTGAAGCCAGGTATACAGGTTTCATGTTGTTACCCCCCCCCCCATCAACGTTTGTGTAGATTCCAGGGGTCAGGGAAGAGGGGTTTCCTTTTTGTCCCTCCAAGAGGCAAGAGAATTAAAGTTGAATGGTATAGGCCTAGGTCTATATTATTATTAACTCATTACAGCACCAGATTCTAATCTAATTCTAAATAATGATAATCTTCATTTGTTTTTCATTGAGAAACAAAATTATAGGTCTAGAAATAGCCTATCCATGCAGGTCTTGATTTGATCCAGATGTTCTATAGATATGCACATTTTAATGATAAAGATACTAAAATGAAAGCAATTTTACAGTTGTCATCATCATCATCATTACCGTTAGTTGATTAATAATGATTATGATGATCAGGCTGGCTGTAGCCAGAGTTTGATGTTGGGAGGGGCACATGCATGTAATCGATCGACGTCCTGGGGATCGGGAGGGGTCTAAAAAAGTTAAACCGATCTTGGAAAAAATGTGCCCCCCCCCCCTTGGCTACGTGCCTCATTATTGATCAATGATGGTGGTGGTAGTGATGATGCTGATCAAGATAATGATGATATCCAAAGAACCATGTGTTTATGAATTCATAGTTTGATCACATTTATCATGATAGTAATATTTGTAAATACATATGTCATTTTTCTTCTCCCTAACCGGACTGAGATAACCATGGCTTTGACCCCCCCCCCCTTTTTTTTTAATGAAGACCAGTCTATGCATGCCCTCGACTTGAGTTTCAGATGCTTTGTTGTCATTTTATCCAAATATCCAATCCTCATGAAATTAATTTGAATCGTGCTATTCGAATAACTAATGTAGTACACGTATATCATGTCTGACAACTCAGGGCCAAATGCCATCTAGTGTTTGTTTCTTTAAAGCCCTTCTGCACTAGTTGACCTGCATGGTCACTGACAGGTGGTTAATTATTATCTCATCAAATCAGCTCTGAGAAAGAGGGGATCATGGGGGACCATAGAGGGCGCAAGTAGCTGTAAGTAGGGCAGTGGGGCTTTAAATGAAAACCTCATGGTTATTAATTCTTCCTGCCATTGTCATTGAAAAATAATTCACAAAAATTGCAGCAAGAGTGAGACTGCAGAATTTTATATCCTTTGTGTTTTATTTTTCTTCTTTCTCTTTTTAAAATTTCATAGCATGCCCTCTCTCAAGAAAGCAGCCTGTGATTTAGCAACAGTTGTCCTGGCAACGCCTATTGGCCATGTGACAATAACAGGATGTGAAGTAGGTGTGCACAAGATTTGTTTGACGGCAGCTAAAACATTGCCACAACAGAGCACAAAGTGAGTAATGTATAACTATCAATGTATTTCATATCCTGTACATTTTTTATAGGCAGGAGCAATGCTAGAGGGCACGTGATACCCCACCCCCCCCCCCTTCGATCCCCATCTGAATGGAAAATCTAGATTATAATTTAACACCAACAAATTATATTTGAGCTCAAAATCTTATTGTAAGATATTGGCTCACTAATGACAGAGAAATTGGTTGATGAATTAGTTCATATGAATTGACAGTGTCTTTTTGTTTTTTTGGGGGGAGGGATTTTTTCCTGACACCATTTGAGATATGCTGTAGCTTTAATTCACGTTCCACACTTTGTTTTAACAAATGTAATGAAAAGGTTAATAGTCATGGTATCTAAAAGAAGTTTTTACACCCTTAGAATATCCCTGTTAGCATTATAAACATTGTTACTCTGTATGTGTCTCATTCTTAACTTTGAGCTTGATGATGATGTTTACACATATTAGCTGATAAAAAAAGGTTACTCAAACTATTGCTGCCTTTGCTCTCTATCTCTATATTGTGACGCGGGACGCAAAACACCTTCTCAACAAATGAGTCTAAATAGAAATTGCTGCCACCACATGGTGATATAGGGACATGACCCCTGGATCAACTGAGGTTTCTCCAGTTGATCCCAATCTAAATGGAAAACTACGTCACTATATGAATTGTCTTTCCTTGTGACGTAACAATGCAAGACTGCAAGAGAGTTAATTATGCATAGAAAATGGGGGGAAAGGATTGCCGCTGATTGGCTAAGAGTAATGCGTGCCAAGTGCCATTCAATCAGACACCATGCGCCCATGTTACAAATTAGGAGCCATTCGTCTTAGTGTGCTCAAGAAATCCCGACAGAATTCACCAAGATGTTCCTCATGATGCATTCAGCTTCTTGTAGATTAAAAAGGAACAAGTCAAGAAATACTGGTAAATATTCTGTACTCTGATACTCTGTCTAATTGTTTATTCTGAATAATCTCTCTTCCATCATAGGCTTGTCGCTACTCATTCACATACCATTAGCAACGTGTATCAATATTGCACGATAACCACGTACAGAACTTAGGCATTTTCCCGCACATGCATACGTTCACTCCACACTACTCAGGGATAGGTACCACAGAGTACTCACTTAGCCTCTCGCTGCATAGTCTCGCATTTCCCTTACTCTCTGTCTCTCAAACTTATCCGAGCTGGAATCAATGGCGTAATAGGGCCGTTTGCATCAAGCAAACTGTTGGCTAAATAAATCAATCTAAACTCATCATTTTCTCTCTCGCTCTCACTTGACAATTGTAGTTACCTCTCCATCAACATCTTCTTTATCAATCAGGTCTACAATTATTGGTCAGGCAATTGCTTCGATGAATAATGCAAGAATACTTTGTAATAACGTTTAACTTGAACTTTAATAATGTATAAAACAGTAACTGGTGGAATGAATTCCGCAACGATGGTAAAGATACAACTTAGTCTAGGTTACATGGTATTTTAATCCACTTGGAGTACAAATATTTATAAGTTATTTAAATTTCGTTCCAACGTTTCTGTCTTTATTCGATCCTAGTTCCCAAGTCAGTGTTAACTCTTCTTTTCATACTCATTATCCCCTTGGCCTAAACCGTGTTGTTGCGACCAGCGCTTAAACACATCCTTTCGTATATCAATAAACCTCGCTTCTCAACTTGCCAACACCATTTCTCCCCTCCTGGGCATACCTGAACCAAACTTTCCCATCTTAAAACGTAGTCACTACCTTCTGGTCAGTGCTACTTTCAGAAACCGACGCTTAATAGAAACTGGCCTCAGAGATATTATCTCCCAGAAACTATGTCTAAAGATATCTTAACGAGGGAACAACTCTCTTGTTTAATCTGAACCATAACTTCTCAGAGTTTAACTCTAAATTCACAAATATATAAAATGTAATTACTAAATCAATGCATGGCGGTGGACTAGCAGGAAGAGAAGGGAGGGGGGGGGGGGGAAGATGGTCAACTTCCAAGTCCTCTGATCTTGGTTCTAGTACCTCACTGACTGATCATCAAAACTGTAAGCAGTCTGATAAAATGTTCATCTAAACAGAAATTGCATTCTGTTCTGTAGCCAAAATCATCTAACTGATCATCAAAACTGAAGGCAGTCTGATAACATGATCATCTAACAGAAATTGCATTCTGTTCTGTAGCCAAAAATCATCTGACCTGATATCCTGAAAGGGGAGGGGGGGGGGGGGGGGGGGAACTAGTGACACCGCCTAAGACTAAACATGCATTGATTATGATATCTAGTAAGCATTTATGAATACATGTGCTTCAATTCCGTACAAGTTTATGACCGAAAGGTCTGAACTTAGAATATTTCCTAAGGTAACAGTTACCAAAAATACTTAGAATATTTTAATAGAGCAAGTGACCGAAAGGTCTGAACTTAGAATATTTTCTAAGGTAAACAGTTACCTTAGAATACTTAGAATATTTTAATAATACAAGTGACCGAAAGGTCTGAACTTAGAATATTTTCTAAGGTAAACAGTTACCTTAGAATACTTAGAATATTTTAATAATACAAGTGACCGAAAGGTCTGAACTTAGAATATTTTCTAAGGTTAACAGTTACCAAAAATACTTAGAATAATTAAGCAGTGCAGGTTACCGAAAGGTCTAGAGTCTACACTTAGAATATTTGTATGTATATTCTACAACCATATTGAACAAGGTAAAAGTTTATGTATAGAGGCACTTTTGAGACACACTTAACTCTTCCAGATAGCTTAGTCAGAAGACTAAGATTTAAGATGTCAAAGTATTAACATATTAAAGTATTGAAGTATTAGAAAGTCTTAAAGTGTTGAAAATCCATCAATTTCCAACCAGTAAAGGTCTGAATAAATAATGCCAGGGTCCCAGACCCTGCAGTACGAACGAGGACATATGTTCCTTCCACACATGTTGTTCAGTTCTATAATAAATAATTATATACAAGGATGCAATGAATGAGTTGTCTTTTCTGTGTAAGTCCTATCAGAGCCAAAACAGTGACACTTAGAATATTTCAGAAGTGTAAGTAGACTCTAGAGACCAAAAGGTCGACACTTAGAATAATTTGGACATTTCAACATATTTCAATAAGCACACAATTAATTCCAGAATTCAGTCTGAAAATATCACATCATACACTTCATACATCAATATTATTATCTCCATTAGATGTGAAAGTACTGAAGAACTATATCGGGAATTATATTACCAACGATCCAAATCTAAAATCTGAATTTGTAAATCGAATTCAATTTCCTCCTAAAATCCCACATTTAGATAATGAATTCATTAAATCAGTAAGAACTGCATTCCATATTAATTTTCCATCTTCCCTTTAATTATTCCTATTTAATTTGAATAAAATTGGTACTTACAATGCTTCTTTGGGTGAAAGCTGAGAAGAGAATAAGAATGAATTGAGAACGTCCGAATGGTCTTCCAAAATGGCGATCTGAGAACTTGTGCCAAATTTGTGTCTCCCGCCCCGTATTTATACCCCTCCAATCCGGCAACGTGATTGGTCAAAAGTTCACACATATTTACGCGCCACTTTTAACCAGGCCGACCGGCCAGATAACCAAATCTCTGAATAAAATAGCACCCTCTACGTCACATTCAATGCAACTCAAAATCTCTCGCGGGAAGTTTAAAAGGTAAATTCCTGAACGCGCATACATGTGTACATTATCTCACAGGAATAATACAAAATAGTTACCAAGGAAATCTAATACTACGAGAAATACCAAAGGTGAGTACCTGCTTCCATAACATTATACATGTATGTGTAATTCTTGAGCATTAAAGTTTAAAAAGGTGACATAAGGTGTCTCACTTTAAGAGAGGAATTCCAGTCCCACACATTGTATTTGGTGTGGTAAAAAAAAAAGATTTATCGAAAGTTTATTTATCTATCCAAGTCCATATGAAAGATAAACATGTATATTTTATTTACCCACCAATTGTTTAATTAAAAGGGAAAAAATAGAGGGGTGGGGTCCAAAAACGCCACACTACCCCCCGCCTTTTAAACTTCGCTGTCCTCAGCGAATAAACAAAATTATTTTATTCTAAAATGTACATTTATGAGGTAATTGGTATATACAATAATTAATTAAATACATCGATAAGAAATGCCAAATACTATATTTAAACAAGTTTAATTACACCACAAATTATTCCAAAAGCTCGATGTGGGGGTAGAAATGGGATGTCTTCTTTTCTTGTAGAATGTTTTTTCCTCCCACATTCACGAAGGTTTCGGTTGTTACGGAGACGCACTTAAGCTGGGTAATACCTAGTGTTGGCGATTTCACGTGGCAAGTAACTTCAAAATCATTGTTCTTGCTCTCTTTTACTATCGCCATTCTTAAGGGGGTCACCACCTGTTCCTCCTCACTCTCACTTGCGCTCAGATCTGTTGCGGTCACAGATTCCATCTCCTCCTCTGACTCGCTGGCTTCTACGCTTAGTTCGGCCTCCTTGGCTTTCTTCCCCTCTTCAATTTCCCTGGCTACCCGTCTGGCCATCTCCCTCCTGTTGCTCTCCTTCTCCTCGCTTGCCTTCTCTTCTCTGGCCTTCTCCTCCTCTTGTCTGACTCTCTTCACCTCGCTTGCCTTCTCTTCCTCTTGTCTGACTCTCTTCACCTTCCTCTCACTTGCATCTCTTCTTCTTAGGAATCTGATTGAGGCCACATCATACCGGTTATGCTTGGTTTCTGCCCCCTTCAAGTGGTGCTGCCTCTTTAAATGACGCACCAGATGCTCTTCCGACTCTGATTCATAATCACATCGTCGGCACTGGTAGGTCAGGTCCGAATCATGGCTTTCCTGAAGATGTCTCTTTAGCTCGGGGTAAGTTTCATACTCGAGTGTGCATTTTCTGCAGCGGGGCATCTGTTTGAAAATATAAAAATATTGAGAGACATTTAAAGATGAGGGTTTATTTTATTC